TTTCGTTTTACAATTTCGAAGTAACATGAACTCTCAATCTTTCGTTCACAGTTTTTACGCTCAGTTAACTCGTTGGGCCTTAATTTACGATTATCGAAGGTTGAAGACGTATACATCGATTCAATATACGAATACATTAATAATAATTTTTCGGTGTATCGATTTTTATGGGGACGCTTTTATAATCGAAACGATTTTATAATCTCGCGCAGGTTTTATAGTTACTCCAAATTGAAGATTTCTGATTGCGGATTCGTTTATGGCCCGAACAATCATCTTTGCTACATTTTTATTGCGCGATTTAATTAAACCGTGATTGGCTTCAGCCTATACGAGTGAAACTGCACGAAACGTGACATCATTTTAATAAATTAATTAAAGACTGAGATATTGTTATCGCAACACACTTCCAAGTATAGGCACACTCTTAATCATCTGCGTCGCTCTTGAGTGCTGTTATTACTCAATTGTTTTAACTCTAGAAGTGCAGACCGAGGTCCACTTAAGGCTTAAAATCGAGTGAAAAGCACAGTCTTTAAATGAATGAAAGTTTCTGCTTGTCATCGTCGGCTTATTCAACATTCGGGACATTTGATTGAGAATTCTCGTTCGTTCTTTTAGAGGACAATTTACAACGGTTGTGAAGAAGACATAGCTTACTCCGTATTATTCTGCTAAAAGTAATGTAACAGGAGTGGTCACTGCAGAAAGAACATCCCTGTTCCATCAGCGTTAAAGCCTCTTGTTCTTTGTGTTATCATACCTGCCGTCGTGTCTACTTTTCTTGAAACGATATTGTATTCTTTCCAGGTGGAAATAAAGTACAGTTTCTCTTGTATCAACCCTGAAAGAGTTCTTATTTGTTTTTAAGAAGGCTTTATCGCTGCACGCAGGCTCGATTTGAATAAAAATACGATTTATATGTGTCGGAGAGTTCGGTAAGGCAGTGTAGGGTTACCGAGCCGGTTAGGGACCGGCTCCCAATTTGTTGGTGCATTTCTGAGTAAGTTATTAAGTTTCGGCTTGTCACTTCGCTTGCGAAATTTTGCAGCCGACGGCGGTCTATATTTAGCATAATACAGAAAGAGCTAGCTGCTTTAATGGTTTTATTAAAATGTTAACTTGGTTACGGGCAGCTTCATAAAGAATGTATTTTTTATTCTGTACTGCAATAAGGGAATTATTGGTGTTGTGACTTGTTGATGAAATTGTTTTATCTGTTTGAAATAATATTTTGCTTACATTTTTATATGTTAACAATGACTATAGGAATAATGTACTGTTTAAGTAAATGGGTTTCATTCAAATTTGGTCGCAAAAATATTTACAACGTACTAGGATCACATAAAATCCAAGATTTCGCAATACAAAATTTGAATAAACTGTGTATAAAAAACAACCTGTTCGAGATATAACAAAGGTTTCGGATTTAAAAATGGAATAAATAAAAGCTCTTCCAAAAGCTTTGTTTCTAAAGTTACGCATTCGCGGAAAAAGGCAACCCTTTTCAAAGTGGCCAACCTTCGGCGACTGACCGAAATCGTCCAGAGACCTGCAGTGTCCGCTTACCGCAAGTGACTCGGCTTACAGTCTTAGCTAACGCTCAATTAGGTGCGATTTTTTCAAGCTGGACGGTTTTATCCAACAGATTGGTCACGACGAGTTTTAATTAATACGTCACAATCGACCTTATACAATATAGGTATATTTAAATTAGTACATTATGGCTTTGGCCCAGTTTGGCTATACAACACCTACAACGACGATTATATTTCCTAATTTATTAAAAGCATAGACTCCAGTCTGCTATAAACTGGCCATATACACAAATAGAGCCTTAGTATAGATAAACCGAGAAATTGGCCTTATGGTGGTAGGAGGAAGTTCCTCTTCAAATAATATTTTAAAAAATCTCGCGACAATGTATCTTTTAAGATTAACTCGCAAGAATGACGGGACCTCGTAGGCAATACGTATAATTTATAAAGCTGAGAGCTTGGTTAGCAAAAATAAATTTGGATGCCCAAAAAAAAAATTACGCGAACGAAGTCACGGATGCACCTACTCACTTATATAGCTTTTTACATACTTACTGATACAGCAGTGCATGTTAAGTAATTCTTTTTTGAACTGGTTCTGTATTGCATGCGACTATCCCGGCGGGTGCTATGTTTATACTTGGGTCGAGACATCTCGGGTTACAAAGCAGTGACCGGAAGGAACGCGTTATACAGACCTATATTCTCCTTGTTGGTAGGTAAAAAAGTTTTGAACGAGTCTAGGCTTATTCACTTGTATCAAACAAGTAGGAAACTTCATATAGCATACACAGCAATATGATAGGAAATTTGAAAGTGTGAACTGCACACATTTTTACAATGTATGGCTAATAATAACGGGTTTGATCCTAATCGGATTCAATATGTTTGTAATTTTTTTCTCTAACATGTAAAATATAGACATAGAATGAGTGGTAGGAATATCCACAGATGAAAAAATTGTAAACTGATTTCCGTATGTCGACCAAAATAGGACGACAAGGCAACATGATGAATATGACTGGGAGGTTATGTGCAAACCTTTATGAGAGATGGCGCAGACACATTTATGTATCTGTTTAATTTACAAGGAAATATTGATCTGACTGTATCTTACTCTGGGATTCCAACCCACGACCTCACTTTAAAAAGCGTTCAAAGTATAATATTAAGTACTGTTTACAAAAACCAATTCATTCAAGAATAATTTCGTTTTACAACCGTCATTTAATGTCATTATAACGCTGAGTATCTCCGTAACGAATGGATAATGCGTTAGCGCAATTCTAAGTAAGCTTTGTCGCCTTTCTGTTAAATCAGTTTCAGCATATCGGTTTTTATGACATAGGATAACAGATAACTTCTTCAAAAATATGCTGTACCTATTTTTCCATTAGAAGGACTACTTTATAGTTCATAGTTTTTCCAGGTGTTGACGGTAGTAAGCCTAGACGGAATTTCGGAATAACTGCCAAGAATTTCAAATCCAGATGTTACAAAAAAATGATCTTTTAAAAATGTTACTATTAGCTAAAATTTTTTAAAAGACCAGCTTTTTTATGGATGAGGAGTACAGACAAGCATGTGGTTCTCTTGATGGTGTTTGAAACATCCCACAAGGTGCGCTGTCGACCTATTTTGGCTTTGGATGTTCGGAAATCCCACATCACGTGATTGTATTAAACCCAATATTGTTCAGGGGGCAGACAGCCCGACAAGGAGCAACCGTAAATATTCCCCCCCCCCCCCCCCAAGTCACATCCGTACTATCGCTTCAATTTATCTAAACACGAAGGTGTTAATTAGGATTTGAGCTCACGACTACCATACATAACTCTTTTTAAATAAAAATAAACTCTAAATCTGCGACTTAGGATTCAAATTTGAGTCTTCAGTGGGAAGATGGCAGATACGTAAATGTGCCTATTAAGGGACAGAACGTGGTTTAAAATTGGCATGCGAAGGGGTTGGGATCCACGGTTGCAATTAAGACGTTTCGTTGCTATATTTAGTTATATAACGTATCAACTGTACTAATATTATAAAGCTAGAGTTTACACGCGATCATATCAAGAACTACTTGTTTGTTTGATTCAAAATCGAAATAAATTGAAAAAATTTTCGACTCGGGCAGGACTTGAACCGGCATGTCAGCGTTCCGTGCTGGAAAGTTTATTAATCTTTGTAAGGTCCTGTTGAGTGCGCTGCGAAAACAATTCAAGGAACTAAAAGATGGTATAAAAGAATGATTCCTCTTGAAATGTTGTATAGGCCACCTGTCGACAAATACAACAAGTTATCTTAAAGGAGGTTTAAATAAAACACTATGAATGGTAAAAACATATTAGTGTTATACGAACAGCACGGCCCAACGTTTAACTAATATGTTACGCGTTTTGAACCGTTAAAGTGTTTTATTTAAATATGTACTACTCTAAGCTATAGACCGCATTAAAGTAGGTTATCAAAATATATGAATTTAAAATTACGAATAAAATTGTCGATATTAAGAGTTTAATTTCCGCGTTATTCAAGACAATGCCAGAGTTAAAATCAACACACGGCTCAACAACAATCCTGAGCTGTAGCCGATTCAAGTCTCTCCTCGTCGTTTTAACCCAATTAGACTTTTTTATCTATTGCCCTCATGTGCAGCAACGTGTGAAAAATATTAAAGCTTATAACCAATTTCGCGGAGTCACAATACTTAGAAGTCCAACGATACCTATGCAGTGGAGTGTTACAAAATGCAATATCGCTAAACCCGAGCCCCACTATCGGTTGCACTTAGTTCCCACTAGTCCGTAATGTCTAGATAGGCTACACCTGGACATGAATAAAATGGTTACTACTCGTAACACTATCGCTGAGTCGTAAACACTCGGAGTCGAAACCGTGTCAGGTTTTCAGCGTTTCAATTTAAATGTCGTTCGAAATTTAAAAAGGATGATTAAAAAATTATTTCACTGGCTCTGTAGCTAAATGGTTAAACTGTGCGTTAAGGGCGTGAGGTCCTGGGTTCGAATCGCGGGGAAACGATAGATTTTTTCAGTCAGGCAACTATGTGCCTGTGAATCCCTTTTTCCCCTTTTTTTTTTTTTTTTTCCCCCCCCCCCCCCCCTAAAGACGATCAGTGTAATGGACACAAATGTGTTCGCCTCGAGACCCACGAGGGGAAAGGGGATTTCACTTTTTATATACCTATTTAGCATCATAGTAATGAGGAATTGCTTTTTCATCTATACAAACGTACAACTATGAATAAATTTTAGCAGCCATAAATTGTAGGCTTTTGAGGCAATTCTGTGACTGAATAATTTGAAACCTAACTTTTAGGCTGCTTTTCCAACACTTAGCCACTATGGCTAACTTATTTTAGCAGAAAAATTACAGAATAAGAAAAAACTACTTTAAACAATTATACACAGATCAAGTGAATGCTAAGCTTTTCTCGAAACTTACCCCGTAAAGTATTAGCACCATAAAGCGGATGATCGTACGGAACAGGCCGGTACGCCGGATGGAGGGCAGCGAGGTAACTAAGCTCGCTGGTAGCGCCTGCCGCTGCAGCCGCTGCTGCTGCTAACCTGGTGGAATAAAAGAAATAATATAATATTTTAAGGTTAATAAGTCATAAATCAATATACAAGTTTCTCTATATAATAGATAAGATTATCTGTGTCAGCGACTTCGTCCGCGTAGAATTGTTTAAATTTTTGGAAATGAAAATTTGTTTTTGCGAAACTCCTCTTCATCTCTATAGATTTAAGCTATTGCCCACAACATCCGTCGACCGTCATTCTTGAAACTGACTTTTAGGGTATTTTTTTAGATCATTTAAAGATTTTCTTTCATAGATATTTTTTGGATATCTTGTGCCGTTTCACTCCAGACATGGGTAATTTTGTTGTTTTTCTCCACTTTTCCCTCTGTTACTTTTCTCCTATTATTCGCAGCGTGATGTGTGAACAAAAAAAAAAAATTCTTCAACTTTATATTATTATTATAGATATATAAATTCCAGTAAAAGATCATACTTTTTCAGGATCGAAACCCATGGCTCCCATGATTAAAACGCGAAGTATACCCACAAGAACACATCTGCCCTAAAGGATATATAACCGGAAAACCTGGTTGAAAGTATGTCACTTAACATTTAATTTATATTAGTTCATTGTAATCGAAAACGAACTGAATTCTAACCCGTCATAATGCGTCCAATTGACTTTCAATAGGGCGATCAAACTTTTTCCCGACAAGGGAAGATAAAATTTTATGACGTCATTAGCGATCGAATATTTATCATATTGAATAAAAACATTATAGGACGAGTGAATTATTGTTCTTGTCTGATCCTCGAGGAGATGACGCAGCAGGACCTGGCCAAAATGATGATATATATTAATCTGTTCTATAGATTCATGAGAATGTAATTAATGATTTAAAACAGAGCGATTTCCATTTTCCAATTTCGATTGAGTTATTTTAATAAATAGAATAGTTAACAATTTATAAATTATCTTTTGGGTCCATTTCCAAAGCTACTTGGATTTTTGAGAACCTCTAAAAGAGCCTAAAACGTTTTAAAACTAAAAGCTTAAGAGTATAACTAAGTACAAACTAACAGACAAGCTAACAGACCATCCGTAGCTATAATAAACTATTAATAAATTCAATAATAATATTTCGCGTTTTGAAGTGTTTTATTTAAATGTGTATAAGCGTAAACTACAGTCCTTACTTAGATATGAGTCCGCTAGAAGCATAGTAACCTAGCTGCAATTTTATGACTTGAGTTATTTATATTTAAATAGTGTTATATAAGAGCGCAGTGGCCGAAAATTGTTAACGTACAAATTTTGTTTTCCTCCTTATTGAATGTTTTTTTTGTTATTAGGCCACTCTGCCTCCAGCAGTCTCATATATGTTTCGAGATGTAACTCATAATAAACATAAGTATTTATTAATATGGCACTGAACCCATCCATTCAACGTAATCAAACAAGTAAACAAAACGTAAGCACACCGCTCCGTAATAAAATTATTACGCGAATCAACTCGCATAACGTAATAATGCAGTCCAGAAAATTGTATGCTCATCTCGGAATAAAGAAATTATCCATCTCCAGCCACGAACAAAGACGTAGCTTTAAAAAAAGAACGTCTGCCAAGAAAATAAAAAGTGCAACTCGCGCGCCTTTGCGCAGCGTGACGTCTTCATGTTATCTGTCTCTTTCGCACTCGTCGCGCGAGATGACACGGTCCCGTGCGCGAGGGGGACGGCGATAAGATTCCTAACAGGAAGAAAGTCGAAACAAGTTTTACAGATTTCGCAGACTGTTTTTTAACGGTCATTGTGTGAGAATTATTACTCATTCAAAATTATGCGTTGACAGCTATTCGCGATTTGATGGGTAAATGAACGTCAGTCTAACACGAGACAATACTGCAGCATGGTAAATACAGGAAGGTCAAACTTGACAACCACATCTCGTTTATTGTGTACAATTCATTATGATTAGTATGAGGGTACTCTGTGAAAAGTTCTTTAGTTGACTACCCTCATAAAACGAAGAATTTTAGGAAACATAATGATTGTATTGATAGAAAAAGTTAAAATAACCCAAATGGATTAAAAAAATTAAAAAACCTTTTACAACAATGAAATAAAACACTTTTAACGGTTTAAAGCGCGAAATATATGTATTAGTTTACTTATATTTCATTCATCAATGACTCTACATTACAGATGAAGCAGCCATGTTCACGTTTAAAATCGTCGATCGTTTTATTTAAATGTTGACTAATCGCGTAAACTACAGACAGTACTTCATATACAACAAGTTATGATACAAGTAAACGAAATAATTAAGAATCATACAATCCGCTATAGAGACAACATTTATTAAATACTTAAATAACCTGAACGAGTTTAATTTGCATTGAATGGAGTTTTTAAAGTCTAAAATGATTAGCGCTGTATTGTAAACATGCGTAGCGATATATCACGGACATATTTCTATGTCTCTTTTATTCCTTAAGTATCTCATTTTTTTTTAATAAACCAAGAAGACGAGATAAAATGTACAGTTATTTTTTGCTCTTCGAATTTTAAATTTGTTTTTCGATTCAAATTTAGAACGATTTTCGTAATAAAAGAAAAGGTACTTGTTACTTGAAATATCAATAATATAATATACTGTCTGTAGTTTACGCAGAGACACATTTAAATAAAACACTTTACGGTTTAAAGTTGTTCCTGACCAGACTGTAAAGCATCAGAAATATCGGGCTGTAGTTAAAAAAATTAAATAAGTTTAACTAATATCGCATTTTAGACCGTTGTCAAATTGTTTTATTTAAAATAATATGAATAAACTATTTGACCCTCACGTAGATATTGAGTTTGACATTTAAAATGCAGCTTTCGACTTATCTAACATCGCGCAGAATTCGCTCTTTCGTCGATAACGAGGGTAAAAAATCAAGTAGCTAGGTATTGAGTTACTGCGAACTGGTTTTATGAAAAATTCATGAACCAGTGATTGACTTGTAAGTCTGTATTAAACGACTGGCAGGTTAGATGTAATCTATGTTGATTGGCGTGTATGAACATGGTATATTAGCTAGAAATATTATGCGGTTTCTAGCGATACGTAAACTAAACCAATGGATTCTACGCTAAGGTAGACTGCTTTTTTGCGCGGAATGATTATTACGGATGGCAGCTTTATTCGGTTATTCGACACTAATTTCGGTGTAAGAACAAGTCTTATATAACTTAAAAAAAAGCATATTTAACGGTTTAAAATGGATTTGTTTTAGTTATATGTGTGAATTATTTTCTAATGTAGCTAATAGTACACATTTTACACAAAACACTTTTAACTGTTAAAAACGCGAAATACCCTTTTATATTTCGTGACCACGCCTGCTGTAAAGCATCCAAAACGTCGGGCTGTAGTTTAAATTGTCAATAAGTTAACTAAACTAATATATTTCACGTTTCAAATCGTTACAAGTTCTGTTCTTTACTGTCTATAGTTTACGGGAGTAGTACACTTTTAAATAAAACACTTTAACGTGTCACGGGGAGACAGAGAGACCACCCTTGACCACGGCTGCTGCAAAGCATCCGAAACGTCGGGCCGAAGTTAAAAATCATTTTTATATAAGTTTAATTAATATATCGCGTTTTAAACCGTTAAAGTGTGTTATTTAAGTTCTGATCTATTTATTAAACTAAAACTTATAACTGAAGATAACTTCGAAAGCCGAGAAGATTCTTAGTTGCATAACTAACTTAATTATAACTGAAATTATACCGAATGTATATCTATACCGAATATTCGTTGTTCGGATTCGGTTAACAATTTTGGTCCATCTCTACACATGGTGACTGGATCCGAGGCTATAAATCTACCTTTATTCATTGTTAAACGGTTATTTACGGATTTTTTTCATCGTCCGACTAATCCTTATATACGTACAGGTAAACGGACCGCAAGTTATTATAGAGACATAAAATTTCATAATGTTAACACATTTATTTAAAACTACACGAATGATACTAAGCATGACTTATTGCTGCATACAAATTTACTGGAACTTTAAAGGATATTAAAATCTCTTTTAAAACGTTTGATATGACAATTAATCTTAAGGAATCGGCATACGAAATTGAAAGATATTTGTATACTGTCTGTAGTTTCACGCGAGTAGTACACATTTAAATAAAACACTAACGGTTTAAAACGCGACATATTTTAGTTAAACTTGTTTGATTGTCCGTGGTCACCACGTGCAAAGCATCCCAAACGTCGGGCTGTAGTTAAAAAGAATTCTCAAACAAGTTTAAGTAGAACATACCGCGTTTTAAACCGTTAAAGTGTTTTATTTAAAAGATATTTGTATTTGAAAAGTTTAATATTGTTTACATTTTGCAAATGATGGCCGAATAGATTAAAAATCTGCTAAGATTACATTGCGCTAGAGGTATCAATAAGTTGAAAAAAATCGACGAAAAAGTGTGGGACTCGGTAACTCAATTGCTTACAGCAACAGCACGAAACATGGACGATGCCGGTTCAAGTCCAGGCCAAGTCGAAAATTTTTCAATTGATTTTTGATTCTCATATAAATCATCTTATAGAGGTCGGGGGGGGGGGGGGGGGGGGGGCCGGGGGGGGGGGGGGGTGGGGGGGGTCCCTTATAAATGTTATATTTTTTTTTATTATATCATGTTTTTAAAATGAGTTTTGTTATTCTACGTATTATCACGTACATATTTTAACACTTCAACGGTTTAAAACGCGCAATATGTTACTTAACTTATTATAATAATAACGGATGCTACATGAACTGAATAAGAAACATCCGAATTGTGAGTTTCACTCCCAATAGATCAAACATGTTTAAAAAAAGGTGTCTTTTTGTGTTAATCGAATGAGCGGTAGGAACAACGAATTTTCAGATCACGAGGACCACCGTGTTTCAAAATACTTACGGTTTCAGTCCGTGGATTGCTGAAATATACGAAGCCAAAATAGGTCGAGAGCACATCTTCTTTTTATATGTTGGGGTATTTCAGTGTTCATCAAGTGAACATGCCTTATCAATAAACTATATATATATATATCTGATCACGAGCAGACATGAGAATAAATATCTTTCATGGTAAATAATAATTATTCGGTTCGGCGAGGCAAGGAAAAAGGTGGTAAAGATTGAGCCAATAGCAAAACACGAATATACGTTAAGGAAAATGGTCACGGTCACTTAGGTACATATAACATATAATAAGGTTGAGTGGGCGTCATATTAATTAGACATAATTATAATACTTTGCACTAGTTATTAAGTTTTTTATGATTTTTCTGAGTCTCGAGCAAACGTTGCAAGTATTATTTATGTTAAACTAATTTAAACAAACGAAACATTTTTAACGGTTAAACACGCAGAATATTTTAGATAGTTAATTCTATTTTTAAATAATATTTAACTACAGCCAGCCAAAATAAGCACGATATATCATGTAAAAATAATCCTTAACATGTATAAATATAACATTTTAAAACGCGATATATTTGAATTAAACTTGT